GTAACTATATAGGTAACGTAACTATAATTATAGGAAACGTAACTATAGTTATAGGAAACGTAACTATAATTATAGGAAACGTAACTATAATTATAGGAAACGTAACTATAGTTATAGGAAACGTTACTATAATTATAGGAAACGTAACTATAATTATAGGAAACGTAATTATATAGGTAACGTAACTATAATTATAGGAAACGTAACTATATAGGTAACGTAACTATAGTTATAGGAAACGTAACTATAGTTATAGGAAACGTAACTATAGTTATAGGAAACGTAACTATATAGGTAACGTAACTATAGTAATAAGTAACAAAACTATCGTTACAGGAAACGTAACTATAGTTATAGGAAACGTAACTATAAAGGTAACGTAACTATAGTTATAGGAAACGTAACTATAGTTATAGGAAACGTAAATATATAGGTAACGTAACTATCGTTATAGGTAACGTAACTATAGATATATGGTAGCAGTTAGTGTTGTTAGTGGGCATTACTTACTTGCTTGTGCGGGGCGGGGCTTACTTTGTGGGCCAACAGGTGCTTGATGAGAGTCGTGTTGGAGGGCGCATCCAACGCCTGCGACAGGTGCGGGTGCTGCGCCCCACCAGAGGCCGCGGGGCTCGCCGTCTAAACACGAATGTCTCATTTAATGCCCTCAGGGACACCCTTAGGGTACATTTCTCAAATGTGTCAAATTTAAAATATACCTGGGCTTGAACAACGACCGGTTTGACTTCAACAGTACCAGGCTTATTGGTCAGCTGCGCTTTCAAGATAGGGGATGACGGTCCTAAAAATGTTTTTAATCTGTATTACATAACGTTTTATTATCTAGCTTATATCAGCTGTTTTATACACTGCAATTGATCTAATTCTTTCAGGATAATCTGTAAAAGGTAATAAGAATTCTATATCTGTAATTATTATGATTATAAGTGACTACCTGCAGGTGGATTGGGTCTATTCTGTGGATTCCTGGCGCGTATACCGATGTACGCCTGTTGCGTCTCCCCCGACGCTATTGTCACCGTGTTGGGACCTACCGTGCCCCCGAACACGGTCCTGTCATGTTACAAACATACGACAAATATCTTACAATTATAATTCACATTTTTACACATAGTTAAAAATGAATGGCGTCTATTTATGGCGCCCTTTCGTAGCATTAATCAGTGGCGCCAATTAGAGGCGCCCATTTATGGCGCCCATTATTAAAGTCTAGTAGTGGCGCCCTCTGTTACTTACCTGACTAATCGTGGAAAGTGTGCGGGCGCAATGACACCCTTGCGGCCGAGCTTGGTACAACAAGCGAGGTACTGGCGGTACACCTCGGCCGCATCGCACGTGCTGTTGTCGCCGGCGCCCAGCGGCTCGTACGTAGACCTCAGCCACGCCTGCGCGAAGTGCTCGTTCTCCTGCAACATACATACACACATACATATTTAACCGTTCAATGATCCTTAAGGAAGGCGCTTAGTGCAGATCAAAGTAAATGCCTTTTTCACAGTCAACTAATACTAAAGACTCTTTTAATTGGTAAAAAAAAGCTAAGCTTATATAACAACAAAAGGCAGAACTTGACCAAGATATTGTTTGAATTTTACCTGTATGGTTCGTTGCTGCATGTGCGACTGTTGTATGGAGGAGACGGGCGCGGGCTGCGCCGGCGCAGGCGGTGTCTGCACAACAGGCTCAGCTACTGGTTTTGATACTTGACTCTGATTTATCAAATATTATCCACGTTATGATCTTTTCTTCTTTAGTAGATTCGATGATCGAATTTTTTTTTAATTACCAAGGGTGGCGGTGGGGGTGCGGGCTCCCTGTCCGCGGGCATAGGGCTGGGCCCGCTGACAGTCTCCACCACGCGCATCAGAATACACGCACGAGGACCGTAGCTCTGCGCCTGCGCAATAAATTTAAAAATATATAATATATGAATCCCTAACTTTAGCCCGTGAGTTCGCACGGAATTAAAACTTAATAAAGTAGCCTATGCGTTCTTCCAGACATGTTCTACATGTGTGCCAAATTTCATCAAGATCAGTTAAGCTGTTTTGAAGATACTTAATAACAAACATCCATCCACCCTTCATGAGAAAGTTTAAATGGATGGATGGATGGAGGGATGTTTCTTACAAGGAAAAGGCTCAACGGATTTTGCTGAAATTCGGCATAGATAGAAAATAGTCTGAAAGTACAAATAGGCTACTAATTAAATTGCTTTTTTTTAATTCCACGTAGACAAAGTCACAGGCGACAGCTAGTCAGTTACACACAATATAATATAATGTATACAACTGACCTCAACAGTGACAAGTGACACAAGGGTATGTACAAGTCCGGGCACGCGGGCGACAGCTTCCGATGCCCGGTCTCCCAGCGAGGTGAGCGCGTACACACACTCCAGCGTGCACACCAGCACCATTATATCGCGCAGTGTTAGCAATGCGCACACGTCGCTGTATACCTGAAATAAATTATTTCTTTATTTTAAATATACTTAAAAAATAATTTAATATAAACTTATATTGCATTATTCTCGCTTAAGGTCCGTTTACACTGAACGATCAGAGCAGAGCAGATTTTTTGTGTGAACGGACCCTTAAAATTCTACTTTCTGCTCCACTCTTTAAGTAATATACTAATAGCGTGATGTCGAATAACCTAGAACCTACTGTGATAATAAGGCTATCAAAGAATAAAATAAAATTTAAAATCCGCTTCATAGATTTTACTATTAGCGCGAACAAACAAACTTTTCAACTTTAATTTAACAAAAAAATCAATTAATCAGTTTAAAACTCTAAAAATTGAGTTTTAAAATGATTAATTGATTGCATTTTAAATAGCACTTTTTCCGAACCTTGGATTCCAACGCTTTAAGGAGTGCGTCTTCATTAACTTCGTTCTGTGCCAGTTTGTTGAGCAATTCCAGTGCAGCGAGAACACGTGCGCGGTCCGGTGACACCAGCGCTGATTGAATCGTGGACAGAATATGACGCGAGATGAGACACGTCGCTGGATCCTGGAAAGACAACAATGGAACTCAGCCTGAGAAAACAAAAGTTAGAATAAGGCTATATGAGAAACGCAAAATATGAACTGCTGCAGTACGTCGTTCAAATGAAGATTCGTGAGAAGATGGCACTTTAGGAAAAAAATCTGGAGGATTTTAGAGTACAGACGAAATTAGTGATATTGTACGTGTAAAAATCGCACAATATAACTAAAACTGAATACATAATTCCACTTACCTTTATTACCAATTCGGTTGAAACATTACCAAGAGTATCCAATCCACTCTGACGTAGAGTACCCACCCAACAGTTGGCACAGAGTAATAAAAATCTAGAGCAAACAGAATAATTATTTAAAAGAACCAAAGATTTCAAAAATTTAAAATGGCTGCCGAGGTGTACCTTAGGATAGATATTTACCGTATAAGTGTGGTGTTCTTTGCTAAATATTGTATATTCTCTTCGTGGAATGACAGGGAGCGCACTATAGAAGCGACTTGCAGCACTCGCTGTGTGTACACACAGGCTGAGCCTCCAGGCAACTCGGGTGCAAACAACAGATTCTCTTCCGAGGGCTCAGTCACCCAATCTTCCAACAAATCCTGTATAAAAGAAACAGCGTCTCTCTCGGGAAATGATCACCACATTAACTTATAAAATTACAAGAACACATTATCAAATAAACTGACTTGACTTAACAAAAGCTGGATATTGTTATGACTTTTTAATTATTTTTTTATCAGACTAGGTACAAACAGATTAACTAAAGATATTTTACGGCAACTTTACACACATCAAACTTTCTTTATTCTTTGCTCACACTCATTTTCAAAGAAAACTTACCAAGCTGTTCTCATCAATCAACTTCTCCAATTCCTCAACGCCGCCATCCTGCATCAAGCAATCAGTCAGAGTATTATGAGCGGCCAGTGCCTGCACCATCAGCTCAGGCTGCTCAATCCCCGGCTGCATGAACTTGCTCTCATCAGCCAACTCCTTAGCACCGCCGCCTCCAGACCTCATCTGCCAGAACTCATGTGGGTACCGACCACGGGCCTCATAATAAGATCGACCAATCGTATCACGAAGACTTGCTGAAAGTGATAAAAAATTTACATCCGGCGCGAAGGACCAAAAAATATATTCTTCAAATACTCTTTAAACCGCGACGGTTTTACTATTTTACTAATATTATAAATGTGATGGATGGATGGATGTTTGTGTAAGGGAAACTCCACAACAGCTGAAGAGATTTCAATGAAATTTGGCACATATCAAATATAGTCTGGAAGAACACATAGGCTACTTATTATGTTTTTCTTTTTAATTTCGCGCAGATGGAGTCAGTCGGTAGTTAATAGTATAAAAGGATGATTTACATATCAATCTAAGCTTGTCTTACAAAACTTACTACAAAAAATTATCATACACTTACAATGATTGTAGACACCAGCATGTGCCAATAAGAAGTCCAATATATGTGGTGTTGTGCTTAAAGGTAGGCGATTATTATGATCAGCTGCTAGCACGGTGCACACATTTATAGCAAAGTCTTGCTCATTGGGCATAGGTGACAATAAAGACAATGTCAATCGCTCCGATGGGCCTGCAATTCTCGGTGCTACGTTAGTACGAAGCGCCTCACCGGATGCTGTAAAAAGGTATATTTTAAATAACTAAGTAAATAATAATAAATTCATAATAAATATAACACAATATACTTGAAAGCTTGTCTTGTTTGGAATGTTTAATTAGAAAATACCACCATATTCATCCTTAAAACCTTATCAATTAAAGTGTTTCTTGATTAGGCCAAATGTTACAGACTAGAGACATTGGTCATAATGTGTTTCTTATTTTCACTCAATTTGTCGGTTAAACATGGTAACTGCAGAATTTTGTTTAATAATAAGAGAATTTCATGGAATTATGAAAGAATTATATGAAACAATAATAAAGCAGGTAAAATAGTAAGCATTAACAAATGTTATTTACCTGATATGTATGTCCCACCTCCAAAAGTGATACGTGGCATTCCACCTCCTCTTGTTCTCCTTGGATCTTCATCAATGTCATTGTCATCATCTCGACCCGGTGGACCCTTTGCTCTCTCATACCTATTGTGACAATGTATACAAAATAAATAAATAACTATAAATGCTTTGTTTTGTTGTACTAGCTGTCGCTAGCTACTCCATCCGTGAGAAATATTAAAAGTATTAGTAGACAATGAGTTCATCCAGACTATGACTAAATCTAAGCCACATTTACTATACTTTCTAACAAACATCGATCCATCCACTTATCCATGCAAAAAAAATCGCATTTATACTAGTAGTAAGATAAGATTAATTTTACATTTGCATATATTTTCTTATAAGAACTTTTAAAATAAATATATTTTTAATTTATGTTGCAGGCATAATCTGCCTTGTTACTAAACAAGAATTTTGACTGACACTGATTTGATTTTTTTTATTGTTGTTGTTTGTGAATTTAAAGAGAACAAAACTTACTTTTCCAAATACATTCCATAAATTCTTCTCAAGAGAGTAGATCCATTGATACATGGATGTGGGAGTCTTAGCAATCTTAAAAATGACTCCCAGGTGTCATTTTGATTCACCTGAAATAAAATTAAATCATTATTGCACATAAATTGATACCACTAGTGTTTACTAACAAGATAATAAAGTTTAACACAAGTAAATGGTGTTTTTTTAAAACAAACCTTGCCAAGTCCCCCGCGCTGTTGAACCAATGAATAGAACAAATACAAATCTATTTCCACACCATTGACAACCGGAATTTTATATGGAATACTGAAATTAAAACATACACTTCAAACATTTTGACACCAAAAAGATATAGGAGCATTCTTGTAAATAACACACGATAATTACTTTTTACTCTCATTAAACTGCTTTAAATCTTTAAGAAAGGCTTCCTTGTCCCTTAGATAATCTTTTGACTTAGTATTTACTTGAAATTTAGCCATTTTCTATGTTATAGTAGCGGCATACAATGTAGGGTTATTACTGTGGTTAGAAACTACACTAATATGTTTCGATTCTTGCTTCTGTTATATATTCGAACGTTAATAATATATTCACACATTAGAGTATTAATTTATACAATGAAGGAAGAAAACATTATATTGTTTAAAAATACATTTTTAAACATTTTTGACAGTGACAGTTACAATTCAAGCCACCGAGCAGCGACGCGATAATAGAGATGTTCCATGTAACGATGTTTCGATTCTAAAATAATCTTCTAGATTCGATATGTTATTTTTAACGGATTTATTTTATAATGAAATCTTATATATAAGATAAGAAAAAACTAATTTAAGAGATTTTATTTATACTTAAATATATATACTTAAATTAATTCTTTGAATCATTATTTTATTGAACGATCAAATCCGCTAATATGAACTAATGCTTAGTAGACATATTTTGCAACAAGCTATCAATAGCAATCGGGTAAAGAAAATCATTATAGTTTTCTTTTAATCCCAGTTCTAGTCCACGACCACCCATTCAATAAGATACAAGAACAAGAACACAGGAAGTAAGAACTAGAATTAGACCTCCGGCGTATCTCCGGCACCTATAGTATATTTTTCATATTGTATTTATTAACTTCAAAATTTTATTTGAAACTTATTTCTTTAATTAATTAACTACTACAAAACAAATGAATTAATTTATACTACATTAAATAAACTATATACTAAAAATAAACCAAACTAGAAATGAAACTAAATGTTTTAAAAAATCGACCCCAAATCGCTGCGCTCGCACGGTAGGGTTCCCAAGAGGATGGAATGGCCAGGATCAACATTTGTCCGAAATGCGCGCCAGCCCTTGGATCTCCTATAGTAATTATTGTAAGTCAGTGAAATTTCAGTCAAAACCTTTTTTATATTTGAATTAAAATAAAGAACTTGTGAGGAAAACCAATTCTTTATTACGTAGAACATAAACTATGAATTTCACTCTGTACTCAGGGCTCTGTGAAACAGAATTAACAGAAAAGTGTCACTGCCAAAATTGACAGTTTTTGACAGTTTGACACACTGCATGTGCTTTAGAGGTTATTTTGTTGTGAATTGTTGCTGCTAAAGTAAAATTGAAAAATGGTGAAAAAGAAAATTGATAACCGTATACGAGTGATGATAGAGAATGGTGTAAAATTAGGGCATCGTACTATGTTCTTGCTTGTCGGTGATAAGAGCAGAGATCAGGTATGTTATTTAAATTTTTATGTCTATATTCTGTTGTTTTCAATTCACTGGTGACTTTTTAAAGTTTAACTTAACTTGTGGCCACAAAACACAACAAGTGTTTTGTTATCTTTCAACTTTGTTATAAATGCTATTAAAACTCAAAAGTTTTCTGGTTATAAAATGTGACATAAGTTAAAATGTTATTAAAACTACCTTACTTTTGCAGGTGCCTATATTATATGACATGCTGGTGAAATCAACTGTTAAATCTAGACCAACAGTACTTTGGTGCTACAAAAATAAAGATGAAGCTATCAGCAAGTAAGTACAACTCCCAACATACATATATTTCTATTTAATTTTTTAATATATATATGGCATCAAATTATCTTATTAATATAAAAACATATTTGATATATCTGTATTAATTTTAGCCATGGGCGTAAAAGAGCAAAGAAAATAGCTGCAGGCAAGCTGGAAGTATCTGAAGAGTCATTGTTTGATGCATTCAGAGTTGCAACAACAATACACGGCAGATATTACTCGGAGAGTCATGCTATGCTCGGTCAGACATATGGAGTGTGTGTTTTACAGGTAATTTGTAAAAAGAGCAAATTGAAATATCAAAACTTTTTTTTTATATATATAATTCTTCTGTGAGTGTGTATGTCACTAAACTTCTCTCAAACGACTGGACCGATTTTGATGAAATTTTTTGTGTGTGTTCAAGGGGATCTGGGAATGGTTTAGATTCACAATTTTCATCAAATATTATAATAACTTCATATTAATTTATTCAAATTAAAGATGTGTAGACAGGACAACATCTGTCGGGTCCGCTAGTTACTTTATATAGTTAAACTTGTTTTAAACTTAATATTTAAAACTCTAACCTTGAAACAAGACAAGTTGATTCTGGAAAAGCAAGAAACCACCATAAGCAATAGTCTTTGTCCATTACCAACTAAGCAAGAAACTGAGATTAAAGAGAAATCTTTAGAAGTGAAAAAATATTGCAGACTCTTGGATTCTTACTTAGCCAGGTACAATTGTATTAAACATATCTTAAGGTTATTAAAAATATAAATTTCCTATTTACCTTTTAATATTATAAATTGTAAGGCATTTAAGATGTTGTTGCATCCCGGAGGCCAAAATTAGTCCTCTTTCCCTTGCCACCCTTTTTCTTATAAGGAAAGGATGGGAAGTGGAAGTGGACTTTCCGGATGAGAGGATGCAAGGAAAGGGGAAATTTTTTATTTCTGTGCATCCTCTCCTCCGTCGATTAAAGGTAGGCAACGCATATGCAATTGCATATGTGTATGGGCAACGGTCACTTCGCTATTTCAGCGATTTCAGATGGCCGTTCGCTCGTTTGCCACCTTATAATATATAAAAAAAGCTATATAATATATATTATTCTATATTTGTTATAGGATTTTGAAGCCCTCACACCTAACTTAATGGCTCGTACCATAGAGACTGTTGAGGGTGGAGGTCTTATTATATTCTTACTAAAGACTATGGATTCACTCAGACAACTACATTCTATTACTATGGATGTACATTCAAGGTATGAACAATATTATTATTTAATCTTATTTCTTACTAATATTATAAATGTGAATGTTTAGATGGATGGATGTTTGTTTTAAGACATCTTTAGAATGGCTCTATGGATCTTTCTGAAATTTGATATAGATGTAGATCACAATCAGGATAATTTTTTTTAAATTGTTAAGAGATGTTCACTTACAAAATAAGCTATTGTTACATAAATTTATAAATTGATGTGTTTGTTTGTAGTCATGATGTATGTGCGATCAGTGCGCAACTTAAACTCCTTTTTTATAATAGTTTCTTGCTAATGAAGTCGCAAGCCACCACTAGTATGTCAAATGAATTTTAAATATCTGATGACAAGAGTAACATAAAAGATGCAACTCTCTCTGCAATGTTTCAATATGTGTGTCTTAAATTGTATTTACTCTCCCCCGTATTAGTCACCTGTATTTAGTCAGATCTAACTTAGGTTAACTTCCTGCCTCGCATAGCAGCATTGTGGAATGGTTTGTCCTCGGCGGTATTTCCAAACCGCTACGACTTAGGGTCCTTCAAGAAGCGAGCTTATCACCACCTCAAAGGCCGGCAACGCCTCTGCGGTTCCTCTGGTATTGCTGATGTCCATGAGAGTCATTGAACACCTTGGTGTTCCTGCTGCACATTTGCACCCTTCTGTTATATAGAAAAAAAAGTTACGAATCCCTCAGTGGGGATATTTAATGAGCTGTGACAATGAAATTGTATTTATATTTTTTAGGTTTAAAACAGAAGCACATGATACAGTGGTGAATAGATTTAATGAACGTTTCCTACTATCACTTGCTGACAATCCTCGTTGTCTAGTGTTGGATGACTCGCTCACTGTATTGCCTATTTCATCAAAAACGGCTCAAGTTGAACCGGTGGATGTGCTCCCTGAGGTATGTATGGAGAATTTACTATATGGACATTTTTATTAATACATTTCCTTTAAAGAGGCGGTGCGATGAAAATGTACTGTTTTACCTACTGTCCAAAAATTACTTAGTATTTGTAATGAGTTTTATTTTTTATTTTACCTACTTCTGCTTACCCCTCTGGGTTATGGGAGTTTGTTATATTGTTCTTGACATATAGATTTTCATATTTTTGTAGAAAGTAAATCCAAAGTTGATGGATTTAATATCATCGTTATCGGACTCACCGCCGGCGGGTCCGTTAGTGGCTATGTGTCGCACTTACGACCAGGCCACTGCACTCGTCGCACTGATTAACACACTTGCTGATAAACAATCCAGGTAAGACATTAAAATGAATAGTTTTTTATAACAAAAAAAGAGTTTTGACACACAGACGGAAGCAACAAAGTGATCCTATAAAGGTACCGTTTTTTTTCTTTTGAGAACCCTAAAAAAAAACTTGATTTGAATATGTTGCCATAATAGTACTCCAGAAAAGATACGTTTAGTCCTATCCTTCTTTTAATACTCCATTGCTGGAGGTTGGCCGTCAGATCAGAAAACCCATCCCTGTCCTGTGCCAAGTGAAGGTTCAATGCTGGCAATAGTTCCTATCCATTTTAGTAAAATGTAGATGATAAATTAAATTTTAATTACGATGATAGTTTGCTGTATAATATTTGATCCCAAGTAGAGTGTTGTTCTTTACATCTCAAAAAAATACTACGAGTACCTATACATCAAATATTTTAACTTCTTGAATGAATTCAAATAATTTAGTATACGTCTTTCCAAATATCTTAGCAGCTCAAGGTGTGTGAGCTGCACACAGTACCTTAACTCCATGCTAAAACCTAACATATCTGCGCAACTTGTACGATATTTTGAGCCGTAAATATATTTGAGCTAATGTTTTTTGTGTATTTTGTCGTTTCCAGGCCCCCACATTGTCTAACCGCTGCAAGAGGTCGGGGTAAATCAGCGTGCCTAGGTCTAGCAGTCGCGGCCGCGGTTGCTCTAGGCTACGTCAATATCTACGTCACTTCCCCACATCCTGAGAATCTCATCACGCTCTTTGAGTTTGTACTGAAAGGACTCGACGCCTGTTTGTATCAGGAACACATTGATTACAACATAGTGCGCTCTACTAATCCAGATTTTAAGAAGGCAATTGTACGTGTTAATATTGCTAGGAATTCACGGCAGACTGTACAGGTGAGAAATATTATTTATTGTATACTTCTTTTCAAATACTTTGGTGGTTCAAGTCCGAGGGCGCGCTGCGCAGTGCATTCAGCACCTCACTATGCCCCAACAAACTTAAAATTGTGATCTGCTCAATAAATTATGACTTCGGGCGAAGTTAAGAGCAGACAAGATATTTGAAAAGTAGTATACTACAATTAAAATATAAATTAAAACTATAGAATTTACTTTTTCATTTTTTTAGGCAGATATTTTAAATTATGATGTTTTGTGATAGTATATAACACCAGACGACCACTCCTTGCTGGCTGCAGCTGACCTCGTACTGGTGGACGAGGCTGCAGCGATTCCTATCACACACGTATCGGCAGCAGCTCAGAAAGCACCGCTGGCACTGCTCTCCTCCACTGTGTCAGGGTACGAGGGAACAGGACGGGCACTCTCCCTCAAACTGTTCGCACAACTCCAAACCGAACATAATGCACCGCCTCCAGTAGGTGTTTTTTATTATTATCTCTGCCTATTGTTAAAAAAAAACTCTGCTACCATGTTAAAACACACTTTTCTTATTGTTTAATCATCTTTATTTTCTTACACACACGCCATGACATCTTTTCAAACAGCGAACACAGTTACACAAAGTTGCCAGTACTAAACATATATAAATGTACCATAAACCTAACACCTATTATAGAAAAAAACTGAATTTAAGTATTACTAATTTTTTTTAATTGTATTGGTACATCAAGTTTCCTTAGAATGGAGATAAAGAAGTTGTTCATGGTATTTTTTGTGCTTTAAGAATTCGTTTTACTAGCTGTCGCCCGCGACTCCGTTCGCGCGCAATTAAAAAAAGTAACTCGAAAAGCTTATGTGTTCTTCCATACTATGCTCTACATCTGTGCCAAATTTCATCAAAATCCGTTGAACCGTTCCGAAGATACCTTCAAACAAACATCCATCCATCTAAACTTTCGCATTTATAGTATTAGTAAGATTTATCCATACTTCAATATTTTTAAACAACAATTATTTTAGTATATAATTAGTTTTTTTTTGTTTTGATATACGGTAAATATTAGCAGATTTTTTTGTAAATTTACTAATATTCCTTTTACCAACCCAACTAAGCTCTAGGCTTGTGCTAGGATATGGTTTACGACAATAGTCGAATGGCGGGATTCGAACCCCCGACCTCGTGATCGGAAATCCGTATCCTTAACCATTAGGCTATTGACGCGTAAATAGTGCAATTTGTTCTATGTCTGATTTATTTTACCCATTACTTTTTCCTAACTAATATATTTTTGTTAGATAAAACTAGAAGAACCAATACGATACCGTACAGGAGACCCCGTGGAGCGTTGGTTGAACTCTCTCCTATGTCTGGAGGCTCCGAGCCCCTCACTGGGAGTGGGTGCTCCGCCCCCCGCAGCCTGCGAACTGCTGCGAGTCAACAGAGACGCCTTGTTCTGCTACCACAAAGCTGCGGAGGCATTCCTACATCGACTTGTCGCTATATACGTCGCTAGTCATTATAAGGTAACTTAAATTAAATATTTTTAATAATAATCAAGTTATTAACACCTTGGGCGCCATGTGTATCTTTTTGTCACACATTGTCTAGAACCCTGTGTATTCAAAACTATACACATTTTTGTATTTGAGTAGATCCCAACAAAAAAAAAATGTTTTTTTTTATACAGTCACTTAGGGTTTGACGCTGAGGGTGTTAATAAGTAAAATGTAGTCAAAGGATGATCAAAGATTGTTACTATCCACTTTTTAATGCAATCTGATATTAAATTTATTTGAAAAGCGCCGTGGTTACTTAAGGTTAATGATATTTCTTACTAACTTTGTCCCTGTTTTTTCTTTAATCTCTTGGTATAAGAATTGTGCTTGATAGAAAAAATCTTTATATTATTACAATGAATTTAGCTACTTTAATAGAAATTAAATATTTCTATGTAAATTTCAATTTTTGTCAATCCATTGTAAAAATTTATTTGACACTTTTTTTTGTTATATAGAACAGTCCAAACGACATCCAGTTGTTAGCGGATGCGCCGGCGCACTGTCTGTTTGTACTACTCGCACCGACACCGCCCAAGTCTACTTCCATGCCAGAAGTGTTGTGCGTCGTGCAGATGTGCTTCGAGGGAAATATATCGGATAAGTAAGTCTATTTATTACAATAATTGTAGCTTTCTGAGACCAAAATTCCCCTATTAAACTCTTTGGTCTTGGAAACCAACGGTTAAATAATAATAAAATGAAGTCAGAAAAGAAAAGAATCAGGGATAATATACTTTTTTTTAATTAAACAATTCTATCCAAAAATGTGCTGTTTGTTTAAGATGAAAATGATTTTAGCTTAGTTTGGAAATTATTTTTAGAATGTTAATTACAGGACAGTACGCGACAGTCTGGGTCGCGGGCGCAAGGCTGCTGGCGATCTGATCCCTTGGAATATTTGTGAACAGTACGGGGACAAGGATTTCCCCAAACTATCCGGAGCTAGGATAGTCAGGATAGCAACGCATCCATCCTACCAAAGAGTAAGTGGATTTCTATCCAGATTATAATAACTTTTACTATCTATATTTAAATACTATCCAGATTATAATTTGGTATTTTTGAAAATATCTCGCAGTATTCGTTTGAAATCCTAATATTAATTTATTTTCAATACAAGTATTATTTATTTATAACAGATGGGTTACGGCAAGCGAGCGTTGCAGCAACTAGCCGCGTACTACAGCGGAGACATTCCATGTCTGGATGAGACCGCTTCTGATGATGATGACAAGACAAACGGACAGACAGACACGCTGCACACTGAGAGCATAGCACCCAGGTAATTATACACTATTTATTTTCTAATCTCTTGTATGAATATGTCAAAATGAGAAGAAACTGTGGAAGAAAATATGTGGGTGTATGAATTTGGAACCAAGAAAAGTCTGCCAATATCTAAAATAGGAAAATTGTAATTTCTGCCTACCCTTCTTCTAGCTTCAAGTGTCTATGATTAATAAAGAAAATTTCTAGTTTATACTATTGTGATCAGAAATTAATGTTTTATTGTATTTCAGGACAAAGCCACCGACGTTACTAAAAAGGTTAACAGAAGTCCCCGCGGAACATCTAGACTACCTAGGCACTAGTTTCGGGCTGACTGAATCTTTGCTTAAATTCTGGAAGTCTCAGAAATATGTACCAGTCTATTTAAGGTAATAACTATTTCAGATAGCAGATAACTATTTATTTATCTTAATTTTATACTTGAACATTAATCTTAATATTTTAGTTATGTAAATCAACTTACAGTGTGCTTCTAAGAACAAAATTTCCGTTTAAAACATGCTTTCCCTGTTTTGTTAAAGATAATGACAGAGACGATTTTAAACAGATTTTGGATGATTAAACTTTGAATATCTTTATATATATAATTCTTCAATGAGTGTGTGTCACTGAACTTCTCTCAAACGACTGGAGCGATTTTGATGAAATTTTTTGTGTGTGTTCAAGGGGATCTGGGAATGGTTTAGATTCACAATTTTCATCAAATATTAACTTCATATTGATTTATTCAAATTAAAGACATGTAGATAGGACAACGTCTTTTTTTAAACTAAAATATGACGAAGGACCAAGTAACCTGAACCTTTTCTCGTATTCATTATGTATAAAGTAAATGTATAATTGTATATTTTCAGTCAAAAAGCGAACGATCTGACAGGCGAGCACTCGTGCATAATGTTGCGTGCGCTGCGCGGGGGGGCGTGGCTGAGTGCGTACAGTGCGGACTTCAGGCGGCGCGTGTGTCGGCTGCTGCCGCGCGCGCTCAGACACCTGCCCGCCTCGCTCGCTCTCACCACGCTGCTCAATGATCATGTCAATATTGATAAACCTGGTGTGTTATATCATCTATACTAGTTGTCGCCCGCGACAATCCGACACTGTGCCGGTGTACTGGCGCAACACTAGCCTTACTAAAATGTCGACGTTTATGTCCCCTCACTAATCATTCTGATACTTGACTTGGTAATGAAAGCGCGCCATTTCGCGCGAAAGAATTCTAACTGAAAGATATCGCATAATCTGTGCGAAATTTCATTAAGATCTGTTAAGCCGTTCCGGAGATACCTTTTAACAAACCATCCATCTAAACATTTGCATTTATAATATTAGTATGATTAATTTACTGTTTACCCCATAATGTACTGTTTACTCAAAATTATGTAACTTCAAAAAATCTGAAAATTAGAGAACTATTTATATGATTAGTGATCGCCCGCGAATTTTTCAACACAAAATTAAAAAAATAGGCTATAATATGCCCGCGTGCACCAACCACCTTCCAGTCCAAGTCCCGTCAGAATCGGTCCAGTCATGCTGGAGATCCCGAAACAAACACGGCCTTGCAGACATTATTTTAATTGGTTTTTATCAACAACTTAAATACGTAATTAATATTTTTTTTCTGTGGCAGCCCTGACAAAGCAGTTGATAAAGGAGCAAGTATCCGGTCACGACCTGGGCCGGCTGGAGAGCTACTGCCGGCAGCAGGCTGACTACCGCCTCATCACTGACCTGCTCACACCACTCGCACACCTCGTCTTCCACACGAAGGCACCCCTCAAGTTGGATGCTGTGCAACAGGTGAAAATAACAAAGATTTTTTGACAACCCTACGTTTATAGTCGAGGAAATTTATTTCCTACCCACTTTGGTGACTCAAAATTCAATGAGATATAAATTAATTTAATTTTTAGAATATAACTTAATATAGTTATTAGCGGTAGCTGTATATATCAAGTATTTGACCAATCACGATCCCATAATCATGTAAAATTATTTGTTACTCTTTGGCATATGGTTCAAGGTCACCTATCCAGTTATTTGACGCCTAATAGTGCAACGAAGTTATTTGTGGCTTAGTGACCCCTCGGGGGGTCAGGGTACCCATGTTAATCATTATTATTGGAAAAAATTTAATTATCACCAACCTATGTCAACTCAATTCCAAACTAGCTTTTTTTACCTGCGACTTCTTCCTCGCAGTATAAAAAGAAAACAAAAACAAAAATTTAGTTTTCTAATTGCAAAAAAAAAATTGATCCTGTAGTTTTTGAGTTTATTAGTATATAAGTATAGAAAAACTAGTATAATTTTACAAATTTATTTATATTTTTTATGATTAATAATTTCAGGTTATTTTCGTCGCTATGGGTTTCCAAATGAAGGATGTAGATGATATAGCATCAGAGTTAGGTCTGCCCGGGTCACAGATCCTGGCCAAGTTCTATGAAGCCTGCAAGAAGATAAATGCAACAATTAATTCCATTCTAGAAGATTCTGTTGCTAAGGAAATCGGAATTGATGAGAAGATTTCAGAGGTGGGCGCGGAAGGTCCAGTGAAACAGACCCTTAATGATGAACTATCGAAAGCTGCGAAGGTATTATTTTATTTTTTACCTTTACTTTTAATTTTATGGAATTTTAAGAGTAAATGATTGATCGGAAAGGATTTTTTTGTTTTATTACTAAGGAAAATTTTCGAAAAAAAAAATTTTGACAGAGAATTCCACTTTCATCTTCTGCAAGAGAATTTAAAAATTACGACTCCACACGGAAAAAAGACAAAGTTAAGCAAAAGATTATGATAACCTAATATTCTATTTTGAGGTTACTTTTTAGAGTTTCAATCTGTTAAGTTCTTGTCGATTGAATTAAATTAATTTACGGTTGGATTCTGAGACTAAAATATTTGTATATCATAGTCATTCTCTGGCCAAATTGGCTCAGAAAGGTACGATGAGTCACATGAATGTTGATGGTGTCCAGGAGTTGGAGCGCAAGCAGCGCAAGGAGCTGTCGCGGCTGATGGGCGAGGACCTGGCGCAGTACAGCATCCGGGGCAGCGACCTCGACTGGAACAACGCTCTCAACACCAACAAGCAGAAGAACATCATCTCCGTCAAGAGGTACGCAGAGGAATTAGAAAAGCAAAAACATAGCCTATGACATACTCGCACACATCAGCTACCTTCCTGTGAAAGTCCCGCTGAAATCGGTCCAGTCGTTCCAGATATTAAACCCGAAACAAATACAAAGTTGGGGCAAACAAAAAAATTTAAAAATTGATTTTTCTTTATATTACATACTAGCTGTAGCCCGCGACTCTGTCCGCGAGGTATTGGAAAGAACTTAATTAGTAGCCTTTGTGTTCTTCCAGACTATGTTCTATATGTATGACAAATTTCAGCGAGATCCGTTCAATCGTTCTGGATATTTCTTAGTAACGCATAAAGTGCGTCGGTGGCTCAGAGGTTTAAGCATTTTACTTGTAATCTGCAGGTCCTGGGTTTGAATCCCGTCATGTACCAATGTGTTTTCCGATTTACATATGTCCATTTAACAGTAACCTGCACATATCTGAGAATAAATTCAAAGATATGTGTGAAGTCAACCCGCACTTGGGCAGCGTAGTTGACTATGGCCTAGTCAACCCTAACTTAGGGTAGGTTCCGAGCCCCTCGGTGGGGACGTATAGTGATCTGATGATGATATTTTCAGTGGTGAGAAACGTCTCGGCGACGACACCAAGGAGATCGAGGACCTGATAGAGTCTCACTCCAACAAGAAGAAGAAAAAGAAAAAACATCTCAGAAACTGAATGTAATGTAAATAAATATATATTACTAAATATTTTTTAACTTTAAATAACAATAATAATATCTTCAGCCTCATAAAACCATACATTAGTGACTTCCTAAAATCTTGCTTTTTGTAAGAAAACTTTTCTCTCGTTCAAAAACAAATTTTATATTATTTTTTGCTTTAAAATCGTATAAAGTTTCATTTGAAGTTACGTAGTTAAAGTTAGTAAGGTAAGTCATATTAAAACAAAAGTCTTAAGAAGATTTTATGTTTTTCTTTTGATTTTTTTATTTCCCTTGTAATAATTTATTATATATAGAATGTTATTTCAGATTTTAACTTCATTATTCGATTATCAACTGTGGTAAGGGGTGTCTTAAACAAAATATCTTTTTTTTTCTTATTAAAATGATGTTAAAATCACCCTGTATACTTACTATTTGTAGTACTTTCATATTTGTTAAGATTTCATATATCATATTTGGATAGAAGCTTTCTTCAGAACAGCAACCACAGCAAAGTTGTCAAATATCAGATTTGTCGCTTTTTTTGTACTTTTGTTAGGTATTTTCTTCAATAATAGAAACAACAGTTCAATAATAATTTCTATAATTATTGTAATATAAAAAAGTGTTGGTAGTTATTCAACCCTTGGAATAGACAATAGATATTTCCTCTTAAACATAACAAATATGGCAGCGGCGGTGGGCGGGGCGTGCGGGGGGCGGGGCCGCGGCGCTCGTACA